GTAAGTAAATGAATTTTTATTTTATTGAAACGTATGTATGTGTGTGCGTGCGTGTGTGTGTGTATATGTAAGTAAATGAATTTTTGTTTTATTAGTATATGTGAGTGTGTGTCTCTGTGTGTGTGGTGTGTATGTATGTATATCTATATAATGTGCGTATATGTGTATGGTCTGTATTTATGTGATAGAAATAGACATGTGATGTATATTTCCTTATTTATCAGCGTCATTTTATCACTTTGTTAAATACGGAGAAAAGATAAGTATTTATATATAAACTAAATATTTTATATTCATGTGTGCACATACAAACTTACTGAAACACACACACACACACACACACACACACACACACACACACACACACACACACATACACACACATACACACACATACACACACATACACACACATACACACACACATACACGCGCACACACACACACACACACACACGCACACACGCACACACACGCGCGCGCGCACACACACACACACACACACACACACACACACACACACACACACACTACACACACACACACACACACACACACACACATACACACACACATACATACACACACATACAAACACACACACACACACACACACACACACAGGAAGAAACACGGAGGAACGGAGTGCGGGCGTGCGCGCAGCACGGGCGCGCGTGCCGCGTGGCCTGGTCTCAGTGCCAACGGTGTTGCCTTTCTACACCTGTACACACGTAATCTTCACAGGTGTGTTCGCACTTACCTTCGGGGCGTGCGTGTGCTAAGAATACACAAGTACACGGCTATTAGTCAAGTGTCTTACGTGTATTAATGGTATATTTGCAGAGTATTGATCCGTTTTTGCCGTCTAGATATACGATATTATCGTGTACCGTTACCGAATTATATATTTTTCGTTCATTATACTTTAAGTTATCGGTGATAAACTTCGATAACAGGTTTTGAAAATTTAATTCGGTAGGTTAGAATGAGAAGATCTGTTGACGCGTTGAAATCTCCAGGTGTTTTGACTCACGGGTATGAGTTGGCTGTGACTCACGGTTTTGATTATAATTAGAGTTTTATATTTAGCTCAAGCTGATGAAGTCCTGAGATGAGATTGACTCATGAGGTTGAGTTCGTCATGGGGACCGACTCGAAGGAAATGGGGGGGGGGGGGGGGGGGGGGGGGGAGTCTGAGTCATGAGGGTGAAGTTGATAAAGTTTTGTGGGGGGTTTGTGTTCGTGTATGGAATGTATGTGTGAATGTGCGTAGACACGAAATGTATGCGTGCTGTGTGTACGATGTGTATCTAGATATATACCGGTTTATTTGTACAGTACAACTCGAGTTCGATAGATTCACACTATACACGAATATCGCGCACGCCAAGCAATCGCTTTTTATCAAACATAAGACGAAATTTCATGAACACGCAGATGGATGTTTCGCTGTGTCAGTGAGATCTTTGGTTTCGCTGTTGTTTACATCGTTACTATGGCAACCGCTCGCCAGCTCATCCTCACCGCATTATATATAATCCTTCCTCATTATATAGGCTTATATGTCGCATACACATCTGAAAGTATATAATATACCATTTGGATTTTCATTAAAAAGAATAATGGATAGATTATGGCAAGAATGGTAATAATGAGAGTAAAAATAGTAATACTATTAATAATGATATACCGGTAATATATCAAGATCAAGACGCAATTACCTAAAAAAACACCCAACTATAAAAACAATAAACCATAAAAAAGAAACAATAAAAGATAATAAATGAAATAATACAACGACAAAACTAAAATAAACGCAAGTATAAAGACCAGGTCCAGACGAACTACAATTGCCACTCTCAATTCACTCGGCATTTAGCGATCAATATAATTACCCGGTTGGTAACGCACGCTTTCGCTATACCGGCGTAATCCCGTAATAACAGATGGAAAGATGGAAATAGAGAAAGAAAGAAAGAGAGAAAAAAAAGTTACTTGCATTTTAGCTAATGGGTTTTTCTTGAACGATTGTTGACAGCGACACCCATGATACGCCCACCTGTGACTGGAGAAAGGGGAAGGAGGGGGGAGTGGGGAGAGGGAGGGGATGGGAGGAAGGAGGAAGAAGGAGGGGGGGAATGGGAGAAAGGGAGGGAGGAGGAGGGGGAGAGTGGGAGGAGGGGAGGAGGACTGGAGGAGTGAGGGAAAGTGTGAGGAAGGGAAGGGGAGAGTGGGAGGAGGGGGAGGGGGAGGATGTGGGAAGGAGGAGGGGGAGGGGGAGGATGTGGGAAGGAGGAGGGGAGGAGGGAGAGAATGAGAGGAAGGAAAGAGGGGGGGGAGGGAGAGAATGGGAGGAAGGAAGGAGGAGAAGGGGGAGAAATTCGGGGGAGACACAAGGGGAAGCGAGACGAGGTTAAAGGTGGATAGGGGAGGAGGAAGAAAGTTGAAGAAGGAAAAAAGGGGGACGAAAAAAGGTAAGAGAAATGGAAGAAGGGAGACG